AATATGGGTTTTATGTTAAATTCGAGTAGTGAGATAAATTATTGATTAATTATCTCGCTTAATTGTAGGTGTTTAAGGAGTCGAGCTCTCGACCTACATACTTAATTTTGTGTGCAATATTCTACCGCGGTTTTCAGGTGGGTTTTATTTAAAATGTCTATGCCATGAATGATAATTATTTATTTATGTGGGTGTGACCAATGTATGCATGTGAACATGTAACCTTCAATGTGAGCTGTACCGGCCGTCGAACGGTTATCCCCGTAGTTATAGAACGGACCCCGTTAGGGTAATCTCCCGACCCCGTTGGGGTAATCTCCCTTTTACGCCAGTAAGACCAGGTTGTGCTCGGTCGGTGGTATGAGACCAGGGCGGAGCTCGGTCGGCGGATGAGACTAGGGCGGAGCTCGGTCGACGCTATGAACCCCGTTGTAAGTCCAATGGCGGAGCCGGGCCTTCGGGGGGATACTCCTACTGTTTGGGCATTGTTGTAAGGCCTGAGCGAAGGCATTCGATACGTGTATCAGCAGTAGTCTATTTATATAGGTGTTAGACTTGGGTAGTTATGACTTGGGATGAAACCTTTGATAAGGTGTTAGAATATGTTTGTCATTGCTATGACTAAGTATTTTGATAGATGTGATAATGTTTTGGAAATAAATGAGTAACGCCTGAAATGTCTGAAATGAGTTTGAAAAATTAAATTGATTTTTCTTGAAGCCATGAATTTTCGTTAAATAAAAGTGGGGCGTTACAGAGATCATCTTATTACAAAGTCCATGGGGCAGACGAACGGGGCCTTCTCAGTTCGAATGGGTCGCGTGGGAGCGGGTTAGGAGACGCGATCGGATCACCAGAAGCTAGTCGGGGCTGGTGTCAAGTCGAGCTGGATGTGCGTAAGATCGTCACGGGCTGCAGCGGGTTGTCTCCAGGCACGAGGAGTTCGCGGGTCTCGTCATAGGGGACTGGTGCTGGGATCCCACGTGCGTCCAGGTTGTGCGCGTGATGTTGGTGTATAACTAAAATCTTGGCTTTGGATGATATTTGCACCTTATATCTGTTGAATGGGAATCACGTTTGACTAAACAAGTTCTACGCTCTGTTGTTTTGCACTTATAATGGTTCATTAGGGAGCGAATAAAAGATCATTTTATTAGTTACTTTCAAAACAAGAAGGATTGGTTTGCAACATAGATAGAAATGAACAAACCATCAAAACGGTTGTAGTGTCAACAGTACAACTTTGTACTGATCTTTACTGATCATTTTATAAAAAATATGTTGCACTTTATAAAACAACACATTGCACTTTATAAAACAAAATGCTACACTTTATCAACACGCCCCACAATTATTTAAGTTAATTATTTAGATTATATAAGTTGATTATTTGTACAATTATTTATGTTAATAGTAACTAATAAGTTATTTAAATTATTTAAGTTAATTATTTGTACAGTTATATCTATTAAAAAATAATTTTCGAATACACATAATTTATGTGTCTTATAAATTATTTCACTTTATAGAAAAATACTTTGCACTTTATAAAACAATACGTTATACTTTATAAAATAACATGTTGCACTTTATAAAACAACAAGCTACATTATACCAACACGCTTCACAACTAACGTCAATAATTCTCACTAAAATACAACACAACATAAATCCAAAAAAATGAATCAACATAATATTTTATTATACATCACATCGTATGTTTCAAAAAAAAATAAAATATTTTGTTTGGGATTGACCGATCAAATTACTGAATGTCTGATTGCACATTTGTGTTAGACGGACTGCACATTAACAACTGTCAGATTGCACTGTATCCACTGAACTCGACCGATATATTTTGCTCGAAAAAAAAAAGACCGAGCAAACTAAATAAATAAATATTATATGTTATCTTTTATATAAAATATAATTTATTCAATAAAAAAACCCGAAATAAAATATTAATAACGCTAATTGTGCAATTTAATTATCGTTATGGTGCAATTCGCATAACATTAATGTGCAATTCTTAAGATTTTTGTAAATTATAAATTTAACACATGGATTGAATTCTAGTATATTGAATTTTTAAAATTACAATTGAGTCCCATAAACATATCAAATTTCCATTTAAAAACCCTCATTCTAAAATACAACTTTAGATTTCATTTTTAATCTTTCTGCCGGCGACCGGAATGGTTGGGCTGTGGCGGCGATTGGCTTAGTGGCGGCGGGAGAAAATCGGCGCGGCGAGCGGCAGTGGTTGTCGCCGCTGGCGACCTGCATCCTAACTGGAGACTACCATGGAGATGTAGTCTTCCATTTGCGGTGGCGGCCTGGTGCGACATCGATTCTGCTGGCGGCGACGACTTTAGTGACGGCGGCCGCGGGCTGGTTGCTGCAACTGGATGTAGGTGGTGGACGACAGAGCCTAAGTTACGTTAGGCGGTGGTGAGGTGAAGCTATGGCGGACGAACAGCTGTGACTGAGCGGTGGACTGGAGGTGGAAGGCATATGCGAGGTGGTAGTTTGTTGAAGGACGACGGTTGCTGTGGCCATCGACCATGGATCTCTCGCCGTGAGTTCTGGGCGGGTTGACGGAATCGCCGGACGGAGGCGACAATAGGCATGTCGACGGAGGCGATATGATGGACGGAGCTTGGTGTGGTGGTGTGAGCTGCCGACGGGCGGTGGTTGTGTGGTTGTGTGAGACTGTGTGTGTGTCGCTGGAAATGTGTGCGTGTGTAATAGAGAGAGAGAGAGAGAGAAAGAGAAATAGGAAGAAAGAGATAGAGAGAAGAGATAAATAGTTATTATATATGTGTGGGGCCCATTGAGTTTGGGTGTAGGATGAATTACGTAAATGTCCCCCCTGATATATTTATTTGGGCATGTATACTCATGTATTTACGAGTTTGCCATTGAAGGATTGATATTGTTAATTAATTTGAACTAATCATGTTCATTGATAGGATTAATCTAGTGGTCCATAATCATTCTTATTTCTTTCACTATGTATAATTCTCATATGATCTCTTATATATATATATATGTTGACAACAAAATTATAATAATTGTGTTTGCTTTTTCGCTCTTTTTTGTTACATTTCATTAATAATGTAATTATATTTTTATTTACTTTATTACATAATAGCTACTACTAACTGATCATAAGATCATATTAAATAAAATTTGATGCTAAATTTCTTTAAACTATTTATTTGAAATACTATTTCATTTTTAGCTCATCAAGCAATTTTTTATTCAACCTAGTTAATCATTTTTATTAACCAAATTCATAAAGTTCCGTGCACGATTTTTATAATAACAATAATTTTATTACTTTTTATTTAATTAGTTGGTCATAATCAGATAAATTTGAATATAAAAACTAATATGTATATTAAATAGTCTATATTTATACTTTTTTCATCTTTACTAATGATAAACTACAAAATGTGATATTATTATATAACTTATAAATTTAAATATTACATACAAACAAGTTAAACATACAAATGGGCATGGGCAAAATTCAAATTCTAGTAAAAAATAAATCCACAATGATAACTGCCTTTTTCATTCAAATCATAACGTACTTTCCACTTGCTGCCACGTGTGAGATCTCCCAGTACCCACATATAGCAATTATCAGCCGTTGATGACGACAAATCCAATGGTCAGTCAACCAACGCAACTGGGCCCCCAACAATTTATCATCAGAAAACAACAAAAAGGACCAACAGCGGCACATGATCCATGATACACCTGATTACTATTACTACAAAACGAATGTTTAGTTCACTCCCCCTCCCCATCTTTCTTCTTCATTGTTTTCTCACAAGTCTCGATCTTTCTTGAGAATCTAAACACCATTTTCACGTTGATTAAGAGAAGGGAACACTTAGTAGATCACTTGCAGTTGTTAGTATTTTTTTTCTTTCCATCTACACCTTTTTTATCTTCTTTTTAGATCTTGGTTGATTTGTACAAGTTTCGTCAAACTAATGACGTTAAATAAACGTTTCTTGGGAGGCAACCCAAGTTTCATTAAGTATTAAGTGACGAACATGACGCTTTTCGGCTTATGGGTTTTGATTTTTTGTCATTAGATTTTGGAATTTGTGACTCCTTTAGGACGACACTGGTAACTGATGCTAAAATGGCGGGTGAAGTTCAAGAACTAATGAGGCATGACTTTCAGGTACTTGTTTGGATTTTGAGATTTGTGATTCATTATGCCATTTAGTGAGTTAGATCTGTTTTGTTCTTCTGTTGGTATCGTTAACAGTATTAAGCTTATAAACTAGAGATGGTTGTTTTGGTGTATAAGCAGTAAAATCTGTTTTTGGGATTGACTATTTTCTTGGCAGACCATTTGCTGCTTCAGGTTAGGTTTGCTTTGGCTTTTGCTTTAGGCCAATTGCTAGTTTTATATCACACTAAAGGTGCTGGCTTTTAATGATCTGATCTTAAATTTTGATTGTGCTGCTATAATGGGCTGTAATCTTTTAACTAGAGAAACATTGGTAAAAAACCGATGATCGATCCCTTATTTGTTTTCAGGCTAGGCCACTTGTGAAATCCCATGTTAACCTGGGATTGATCATGAAAAAGAATTCATGTATAGTTTCTATTTGTTACTTGATTCTCATGATTATGAATCTATTTATGTCTGCTAAAGTTTTCCTCATTAATGGTTAATGAATAATGATCACTCTGTGTAACCGGGAGGCGGTGGATCCATTAGATTCAACTTCAATTTGAAATCCATTTCTTCTACAACTCTTAGTTTTCTGCTGGTGTCCCTTTAACATTTTAGCACTTTGTTGGACCAAAACTAATTTAGGCAATAAATCTGAACAACATTCAAGGTGAGAATGTCTTCTTTGAAGTAAGTTATAGGAATTAGCAGGATAATCAAGTGTCTCTGCCTTCCTATATTTGGAGAAGGTTTAGCTTTTCTGCCCTTAATTAGGCACTTATCTTGAAATGAACAGGCCGGGTCCTTCCATTCAGGATCTATCTCCTTCGGAAGGTTTGAAATTGAAAGTCTATGTTGGGAGAGAAGGTCATCCTTCTCACACAACAGATATCTTGAAGAGGTCGAAAAATACTCGAAGCCCGGCTCAGTTACAGAGAAAAAAGCCTATTTCGAGGCCCACTTTAAGAAAAAGGGCACTCTGCCTCTGGCTTCACCGAGTGAAACAAAATATCGAACTTGTGAACATGATACCTCACAGAGGACTGGTTATGATGGTGTGGAAATGAATTACATGGAATCGGCATGTGGGACTATTGCTTGTGAGGCTCAATTGGAATCTTCGTGTGATGATACTGTGCCAGCAGACGGTATTTCTGAACATGGGAGTGTAAAAGAATCGCATTGTGCTGAGTTTGAAAGTTCTTCAAAGTCTGAACCGAAAGAGAATCTCGATGGTAAAGTTTCCAAATCTAATACGAGCCATGTGTCAAACGTGATGGTTGGCCCCATCGGTGATGATCATGCAGCTAATGGAAATTGTGATGCTAATGTCAATATCCGGCAAGGTTCAACTTCCGAGGTTTGTTTTTCTTTTTTTCTTTCTAGTTTGGGATTTAGTAGTAACTCAAAATGCTAATGTGTTCTCATTTTTTAACCAATGGCATGGATAGCTATGAATTCCCTGTTGAAATATTTTTTTTACCTAATACAAAATGTTTACCTAAGTAAAAGCCTCTCTCTTGAGGATGTAATTTGTTAAATGCAAAAGCAGGTTAATGCAGTTTTGAAAGATATTTGGGTGTGGCTACTAGTTTTTGGGTAGGATGACTGTTGGGGACTGTTCTTAATTAGTCTAGTTTATTAGTGATGATCATAGTAGCATAGCTAAATGTGAACGATGAGATTTTTATTTTCTTGGTTTTTTGTGCATGTGTGAGTGTGCGCGCGCCCTTTCACGGGTAATTTATGTGGACATTTTAACACTATGTGTTGTGATTTGAATGGTGTAACATGATAATGTAGGTTCAATCACAAGTTGAATATAATATGCCCAGATCATCACGGCCAGGCAGCGTTGTCCACAGCAAAAGTGACATATCAAATAAACCATCCAAAGTCTCAGAAGATAAAACTAATAAATCCATGAAAAATGTCATGAGATGGAAAGTAGAAAACAAGACTTCTAAAGCTGATGTCCAGATAAAACGACAGATCCACAGAAATCCAAGGATCGAGGTTTTACTTACCTTACCGTAGCCTTTGTATATGAATTTAATTAATGAAGGGTTGTACTGTGAACGACCGTTTTTATTTCATTACTCCATTTTCTTGGATTTATTTTTTCTTAAAAGTTTGCTCTTTTTCGGCATTTCTTCTTTTTGTTGACTGATTATCGGCCATTTTCCACTCAGTGTGGCTCGAAGGTAAAAGGAGACTGTGATGTTAAAAGGTACATAATTTTCTTGTATCTCTGGAATAGTCCGGAGCTATTGTTTTGTTGTCATTTTATTTTTTTAAATCAACTTCCTCTTTTCATAGGAAAATACCAATAAACAGAAGAGTCGAGGAGTCTCTGTCCACGCCATTGCAGAAGGTTCCAAGTAGGGTGCATCAAATAGAAAACAGGTTCTTATCAAGTTAGTAAACTTCATATCAATTTGATGCATCAGTTTATCAGATCTAATGGATGAAATGTCTTTTTAGGAAGAAATATGTAGCTGATACGCCTCAGACGTGCATACATGATGATTCTAGCTTCAGGTTGAAATGCAATGAGCGTGTGGAGAGAAGGAAAGAGGTAAAAATTCGATATTGTTCTGTTAACCAAAACATGCTTTAGTTACATAATTGTAGGATTATTTTCACTCTTTTTTTTTTCCCATAGTAAATTGATGAACCTCTCTCTTAGGTTGTTGCTTTTTTTGTCTTATTTCCTCTCTCTTTTCTTCCATCAGTTTGATACGAAGTTAGAGGAGAAAATGCATGCAAAAGAAGCTAATATGCACCGACTTCAACCAAAAAGTCAGGTAATTTGCCGAATTAATCCTTTGAGTCTATTACAATTGTTTATTGGGGTTAGCTAATATTCTGTCTTTCTAATGCCTTTTGTTTAAATGTTGGCAGCTGAGTCTTTTTGTAATTAGGCTAATCAAGCCCCTCTCTATTTTTCAAATCTTCAGCTTTATGAGGCTTCAGAAGCCACCTTCTTTAAGTCATAAGTTTCTTGAATGAACTTCTATTTAACCGAGCTGATTTTCATATTCAGCAACTTGATTTGCATCATCCTGGAATTGTAGGAAAAAGCACGAGTGGAAATGAAACAGCTCAGAAACACTCTCGACTTCAAAGCTAAGCCACTGCCTTCACTTTATCGTGGCTCGGACAAAAACAAGGTATCTGAGCTACTTTATTATGCCATTATAATTTGAATTCACTAAAAAATGATGTCCGGTAAACTTAAGTTATAAAATTGCTTATTTATCTGTGAAAAAGCAGAAGAAGAACCAAAAATCTTCAAGCACTCCTGTCTGCTTTTTAGATTACCGCAAAATTAATGCAGAATCTGGAGCCTTTTATAGTGAAACTCCTCTCTTGTAGTGAAACTCATTTGGCCACTGTAAATTTCCCAGGCAACAGCTAACAATCCCGAGCCACGGAGAACACGTACAAATCCATCGAATATCGGCACAAGAGTTTCTAGAAGCTCTGTGTTATCCACAGCATGCAAAAGAGACACCAGCCCTTCATCTCCTTCTGCTGTAATAAACACTCTTTTAGATCGGAAGAGAGAAACCGACAAGGACAAGCATAATATTTTGAACAAGCATAAAGCAGGTCAGATAAATTATGTGGATAGTGGTAAACTACTGGTGACAAAGATGAAGAAAAGAACGAATCATAAGGAAAAACTCTGCTATTAAGGAAAAATCCCAGGTACCTTCTTATAGTTAGGCCAAAACTCGGAAAGTATTTTAGTGATTCGTTATTTTAATTAGACGCAAGCATGTGATGTATTTTGTAATTGTATATGCCTAGCTAACTTATTTCAAGTCAGGACTCTTCACAGCTCTCTTGTATGCACATTTTTATAGTTTATTTATGTGTATGAACATTCTCTGGAACTCGTTTTTTCCTCCGAATTGAACGTCATCATCGCACTCGACAGATATCTACTCAGTCCCGTTGTGGAACTTCTTTATTTTTTCAGAAAATAACTTCACTATCCTTTTCTTTTCTTTTTTTTTCTTCTTCAAAATGATAGTGAATGCTATAAACCTTAAATGGGAACAAAATTCGAATACAACGGGCAACGCCCGACTACAACTGCAAAGAGGTATTCGCCACCTCGATCAGATCGAAGCAACTTGATACTCTTACCATGAAGCTTCTCCACAATTGCCTGATACTCCTTGAATTTCTCAAAGCATTCGGACTTGTGGTGTAACATGTAAATGCACCCAAATCTCGGGTAATCATCAGTAAAAGAGAAAAAATACTCGTAACCACCTCTAGCCTGGATCGACATAGGACTACAAAAATCTGAATGAATCAATCATAGCACTTCTTGGCTCCTATACCCCTTTGTCGAAAACGGCCTCTTGGCCATCTTACCTTGCAGGCACGATTCGCAACTTGGATAATGATCTTCTAATGGACTGAGATGTCCATTAGATACCAACTTTTGAATTCTCATAAGGTTGATGTGCTCAAGTCTAAGGTGCCAAAGATATGCTTCATTCTACGAAGACTCCTTCCTCTTATTAGACTTAGTCAAGATATTATTCAATTCAATTAGTTGTACTGTGGGATAGTTTGGTTTAAAAACATACAAATTGCCAACTAATGAAGCAGAACAAATCGAACAATTTCCATAATGAATAATAATAAAGTCATCAAATGTAAATGAAATACCATCCAAAACATGTTTAGAAACTGAAACAAGGTTCTTTCTAAAACTAGGGACATAAAGACAATGTCTCAAAACCAAACTACTACTATCCAAGATAAAGTAACGTCTCCCACTGCAAGAGCTGCCACTTTCGTGGCGTTGCCCATATAGACGGTGATCTCTTCCTCTTTAAGTCGTCTGGTTTCCTAAAGTCGTGCAAATAATTGCAGACATGATTAGTGGCTCCAATGTCTACACGCCAGGTTCTGGTAGATACAACCGCTAAACATGTTTCTACGACATTAATAAGAGAGTTACCCTCTTGAGGAGAGGGCATTCGACCTTCCAGTGTCTTGACTTTTGCAGTTGTGACACCTTCCATTCGGTTTCTTTGCCACATCCTGAGGGGCCGGTCGCGGGGCACTCGGATCATCCTGTACCTTCACCTTTCCTGCAGACTTCTTTCTCTTCCTGCCCTTGTAAGGCCTGAAAGGTCCAGCCTGCTCGGCGACTAGTAGCTGAGGGTTCTGAGTGAACAAGGCTTCTGCCGACTGAAGCTCAATAAACAATTCTGGAAGAGCCATATGCATCTTGTGCATGTTGTAGTTTAGCCGGAACTGGTCATAGCTCTTTGGCAGATACTAGAGCATAATATCAACCTGAGTTTTCCCATCAATAAAACCTCCCTTGACCTCAAGCTCATTGAGCTGCGTCATAACTCTTAGAGCATGTTCCCTTATGGGTGTGTCTTCGGCCATACGCGTACTCATCAGAGTACTCAAAGCTTCCTGCCTAGCAGCCCTAGACTGATGCCCAAACAAATTCCTAATATTGAGAAGTATGTCTGCCGCGATGTTCATAGACTAATGCTGATGTTGAAGAACATTTGACATAGATGTCAGAATGTAACACTTCGCCATCTCATCAGCTTTCTTCCACCAGGCATTCTCCCCTTTCTCTTCTTTAGGAGCATCGGCCGCGGGCTCTGTCGGGCTAGCCTCAGTGATCGGAAACTTAACTCCTCAGCAGTCAACACAATGTCTACGTTTCTCTTTTAATCAATGTAATTAGGACCAGTAAGCTGATTTTCTTTTAAATGACAGATGACAGATTGAACGACATGATGAATATAGCCTAAGAATCATGAAAATAATTTTACAGATTAAACTTTTTGAATTTAATTGTTAATATTAATATCCTCAAAACAATATTAACGTAAATTCACCGACCTCTCAAAACACCATGAGTAATGCATGATACGAGGGTAACCCTACATACTCAACATTCACCAGAGAAGGACTTTTCAAGATCTCATTAATTTCCATAAGTCAAAGCCAAATTCATCACGAACGAAATTAGTAGTCGATCTTTGTTTGACCATGCAATAAAATTCAGAGACTCCGAAGAGGGTTAACAAATTTAATCGCATTCTAAGTGAATCCCATTTCTCGATCCTAAGGTCATCAAATTTGATTATACATCATCCGAGGGGAAGCCCGTACGCTCTCATAAGATTTCCTCTAATCGTGTAATTAGAAACTTGTCCTGGTAATTTTTTACAATTAATTTTAGTGCGGTCACTCGAGGGGAAGCCCATACTTCAATTAATTGATTTACCAACAAATTAGAAATAGAGGCCTTAGGAATTTTGATACATTCGGCTAGTGATTTTTTTTTTTTTTTTATAGCCAGAATCTTGTCCATTTGGACTTAGTATTTTTAGCCTATTTATTCATGTAGCGCCCCATTCATTTTAGATGAGTTAGCATATTTTTATACTATTTATTTATTCGCCTCGCTTTTATTTTAGTTGTACTGCTCAACAAATCCTTGTCTAAGCTTATGTGAATTAATTAGCCGTCCTCGTCTAGTCAATCTATTACGTCAAATAATCTTTGTAGATGTGATTGTATACTTAAATTATTTCCTATTTTTATGCTTTCGTTATTCGTCGTAGTTTGATTTAAATTTGCTCGTCGAATCGTTTGAAAATTCCTTGTTCAGTCGCGTAGATCTATTAATGAACCGTTCTCGATCTTTTCTCGGGCTTTTGGGCTCGAACCTTTTTGGTTATTTTCCAGCCATTTTGAGATCTAAAAAACCGGCCCAACCCTTGGAGAAAACATGCCAAAATTTTCTTTAGCATCCGCCCTTTGTCGTTTTAAGAATTTTTAAATGTCAAAAGTGTTTGGTGTTATTTTAGGAATCATGATTAAGCCATGGCCCCATGTTTGACAGGCATAATATGCTTATTTTTTTATATATAAACATCCCAGGTTGGGATGGGGGGCTGAGGCTATACCCCCGACCTGTGAATATAATGGCCCAGATAGGGCTAAAAAAGTCAATGGTCTACATCCAAGTCGAAAATACATAGAGCAACATCAAAAACAGAAAAAAAATAAAAAGTACAAGGATCACAAAAATGTCCGATGTGGATCTAAAATCAAGTCCTCATAAAAGGTCGTCCTGGTCAGAGTGACCTGACATGGGGTCCAAAATGTCAAATCTAGTCAGGGGCAGGTGGTGGCGGTCGACCGAATCTGAAGGATGGGTACTCTAACTGGTCCATCCGAATTAGCGTCCGAAGACGGAGGGGAATGTGCTCAGGAGGAAGGGTGCGTCTCTGGGGTATAGATGCCCCCGTGCTAGAAAGGAAATCAGCGGGCCGATTCCCCTCCCGGAATATGTGTGAGACCTGGTAATGGATCGAGCGGAGGGTGTTTTTGATACGCATAAGAGGATGCTGGATCTGTA